AATAATTATACATATTGTTACAATATCTGATTTAAAAGAGCAGTTAATGTACAAATTCAAAAAATAAACATTTTAAGTTTTGGAAATTCGAGTTTAGGATTTCTGATTAGGAAAGTTTCTGATTCTGAATTTCTGAATGAAACTACCTATTTTCAATCTATCTTTAATATTTACTGAATAAAAGAATCTCTAATGTCAATTTAAAGAACAATTTATTATTATTATAATGAATAGAAAACTATAAAATTCTATTCTATTCTACATGTTTTTATTTTAGTTGTTTTTTTCTATGTTCTGCATTAAATCTAAAAAATTATTAACATTTTATAAATATTGTCCTTCGATGACTATTATATTCATTTACGTTTTAATATTTTCCAAAATATAAAAAATATCTTTTATTATATAAGAACTTGAAATAATAAATAATTGAATATTGTAATTCATAGTATCTACGCGAACAAATGCGCAAAAGGAAATATTCAACTCATTACATATTCAAAATGAAACGGTCGAATACTGTGTGACGATAATTGAATATAACGATAACAAATTCATACATATACAAGATTTTAATATATTCGTGGGATATTTGAAGGATTAATTTTAAAACAAAATACAAACACAAAAGTTCACTTATTTATTATTTATTGTTAAATTACAATTAATCAAAGTCGAAATCGTTTTGTCTTTATTATATTGCCCTTGTACTGTATTCTCGTCTCATTTTATTTAACGCAAACTTAAATTGCCTTTATAATTTAATAAATAAGTCTCAACCGATATTTTTGCACACCAATTTTTGTATTTATTTCGAGCTCTAGAATCGATCTTCTAATGATATTCCATGATTATATTAATGCTTTGTATATACAAGTTATTGTATGTATTATATGTAGTAACTTCATTGAGAATTAAATAAATTCATTTTTAATTTAGAATATATAATTAATGTAGAAATCAATCTCGTTTCATCTCTACGACATTCTCGCATCTAAAATGATCTAACATTTCAACGAAATACATATATATGTTATATTTCCATTTGCTTATGTTACATTTGTGTTCGTTTAAATGTTTTGAAATCGTCGCGTCCTTTTCATTCGAGGACCGAGTTCATTCGAGAACGAGTTTCCATTTACGTATTTCTTTAACCGTCCTTTTTTTCTTTTCATCTTTCCTCCATGTAACGTGTTTCTTTTTTTATTCTCAATTATAAAAAGTAGACCACTATCCAATGATACAACAGTTTCTATTTTTTTCTGCGCGATTCTTTTTAATTATTTTATAATTCAAGAAAGAATATTGAAAAATTCAAATTCTTTTTATTACTAATAAATTTTCAATTTTTAATTTTATTAAAATTAATTTAATTTATAAAATATAAAATCATTTAGAATTTATTATATTAACGATTAAAGATATAAAGTTATAGAAGCCAATTAAAACTTGAACAATAACTGAATATAAATTAAAATCAATTGTTTTACTATAAACCAACAAATTGTGTACTATAATGTTTCAAATTAGAGGAAAGAGATTTATTATAAATGAATCAATAAATATCACATACTTTATCTCAGTAATTCACTTTTATGTCTGAGGACTTTGCGACCTCCTAAGGGTTCATGGATCAAAGATTAAGAGCCGTTGATTTATTACATATTTGCAAGAAATCAAAAAAATCCGAAATTATTAAAGATATTCGAGAAGAAACTCGAGTGCAAATTGAAGGATTCAATGCGAGAGGAAACTGTATTATAGAAATAAAATTCGTCTTAAGAATAATAATAATTCTTATTATGGATGTAATTTTCATTATTAGTTTCTCAAGGAAAACAAGTTTTTGTAATATGTTCTTAAATCAATTAAATATGAATAACTTATTAATACTTTTTTTATGTAAAAAATATAATTATAATTTTACAAATTTTAATAACAAATAATGTAAAATTTTTTTTTTAATTAATAAATTTGAATAATAAAAGTAATAAAAATGAATGAATAAGAAGTTACTGGATAAGATTGAAAATATTATTATTTTAAATGATATGGAAATAATCGTTTTCCTTATGTATTTTAATTTCTGTGTAAAAAAAATCCCCTATACTATATTTTTTTTTGCTTATTGCTCATAATTATTATTCATACGGTTTTATAATAAGTGATAAAATTCAAAGATATAATTTTCACATTACTATTTATTACATTTTGTAAGTATATATGACACAATATTTAGAAGAAACTCAAATATACAAAAGAAAAAAAAAATAAGAAATATAAAAATTGAAATTTAAACTGTAAATGTTATTTTTAGTTTTTTTTATAAAATTATTGTTTATAAAAATATAGAATAATTTTTTTCTTCGATTCAATTTTCATATCTAAATATAAAATAAAATAAAAAATAAAGTATTTCCTCAGATGCATTATCTCCATATTTATATTTATAAGTAATTAATAAGTTATATTAAAAAATTCTTCTATTGAAGCTAATATTCATAAAACTTTCAATATCTCTTAACATTATTATTATGGATTCCTGCACTAAATCCACATATAATCATATATAATATTTGAATACAATATTTAATGATTTTAATAATAAATTTTGGTATATTCGAGATGAGATCAATTTCATCCTGAATAAATTTCATTTTTATCAAGAGGAGATTTATATCGAAAATATTTTCGACATTAGAGCGATACTTTGTTCACGATATTGTCCAATAAGTTTGGAGTAAGCATATACGTTTTAAAGATCGATCGATTTTCGACTTGGACTTGGTCCAAATTGAAGCTACCGTGAAATCGCCTCTGCTGCCATACTTAGAATGCACCTTTTACATTTTATAAAGTAGATTTTATCCGTTCCAGGGAAATATTTTATAAATTGCAAGAGCAATCGATGACAGAATGGACGAAATAAGTGGAAAAAGATCAAAATAAAGCGAGCTTTTTCAATTTAATCTTTCTAAAATTCGATCTATACACGTTACCTTTCAAGAGTTTGAGATCGTTTAGATGAGAATAGAAGGAATACAAGTGGATATTTTAATTTTTATATTCAATTTAGATAATCAGATGAAATTACAATGGAGAGTTCTAAGATTATAATTATTAATTTATTTAAAATTTCTCGATGATTCAATTTTTTATACAATATTGTTATTGTTTTCCACATCGATCGTTTAATACACAAATTAATAGACAATTATTCGTACAAAATAACATTAAATTGATGTTAATGTTTAAAAATATTGTTAAAATTCACTATATTAAAGTTTCTTAATAAAATTGTATATAAATCAACTTTTATATGATTAGTTAAATTTTTCATAATTCTACTTTTTATCTTTTTTTTTTTTTGTAATAAAGTTAATTTTCGGAGTTTAAAACATATATTTTTAAGAAAAATAATAATCTTTGTTTATAATAAATATTCATACATGTTTTTACCTTTATGATTGTATCATTATTGAAAGAAAAAAAAAATGTTATCCTATAATATTGGCATAGAATTATAATAATTAGTTTCATTTTCCTTAATTATAGATTATCTTGTTTTTCTTCGTCATCTACTATAAATTTTCCATTATACATATTCATTAAGATAATGCAAAAGTTATATATATTATCATTGCTGATAGCTTGAATTTTTCCTTATTCTTTATTATTTTTATATATAAATCGACATTAGTAGTTTTTATTTTTTATTAACTTATCATTGATCTATTAATATTAAATATAAATTGTTAAACAAATAGTAGAAAAAGAAAGTAAAATGATTTAATAATTTTGTTTCAGTTGCTGAAGGGATATTCGATTGATGATATCATCCAGTATTAATTCAGTAAGTTAAAATTTATTATAAATAACTATTATAATCATTTAATTAATAATTTTTATATAAAAATATCTATTATATTTTTTATTAAATTTTAACATGAAATAACACAGTCAATTTGAAAGAAAAAATAAATATTGTGAAATTTAAAGATATCTTCTGAACTTTTTATTTAAATTGTTCATTTGTCAATTCTTAAATATACAATACAATAATCTACTTTTGATCAGAAGATTTATTTTATATTATTTTATAAATAGATATGCATATTACACAATAGAATAAGAAAATAATGAAACTCGTTAAGATAATATATAAAATTGCGAATTTTTTATTTTTTTTTCTTTCAAAGTAATTTTCGAAGAATGTAACATTACATCGGATACTTAATTATTTAAAAGAATTTAAAATTCGCTTTGTTTGGAAAATTACTTTGTAGGAAAAAAAAAAATAATAAAAAATTTGCATTCTCTCTGTATTTTATATTTTTATTAGTCTATGTCCAATGTATATGTTACTACATGTGTATTGTATATTCTTACAATAAAAAGAAGATTAGAAAATTAATTAGAAGATTAAAAAATTAAAATAATTAATTAAAATACAGAGGAAAAGAAAATATTTATTCATTTGTAAATTTTTTTTTTCATTTTTATACGTATAAAAAAAATCTTAATTAAAGAAACATTGTCTATGGAATTTTTAATTTTTCGATATTTTTCATTTCTCGAAAAATAATATTTAAAAATTAAAAAAAATGTATTATATTAACAATATTTATTAAAATCATAAAAAACGTTCAATAAATATTTAATCTTGTATACAAGAGAATTTGCACACAAAATTTTTTAATAAAAAAAATTAAAATAAAAAACGAGAAATTTTTTCAAAACGAAATTAGTTAAAATAATTTCTCGAAAAGCACAATGTGTTCACCAATCAATATAAGCATTAGCATTAATTTGTTTCTTTCTCTCTTTTTTTTTTTAAATCTATAGTTTCATAGAAAAATCTCTTTCAATTTGAATGAATGTTGATTATATAGAATAAGTGATAATAAATAATTGATATTTATAATTATCTATTCTAAACATAAATTTTTCACAAAATAAGAAATAAACAATTACAAAATTTTTCAAAAAATTCTCCAGAAAGAAACACCAATTTGTTTAACGCATACCACGTTAAATCTGTTAAAAAAAAAAAATTCCACGTATAATCTGTCAACTGTAATTTACACACATCTTATTTCCAGCAATTCTTTCTTCGTTTCTTCAGAGCCAGTATATCGTGCAAATAATATTTTAACAGATTAACCGGAATATTGCGTTATTAGTTCAATAAGAAGTTCTCGTTCTCATTGTTAACGTGTGTGTGCGTGATTGCCATGACTGTACCCGCAGGATACGTGCAATTTATGATAATGTAGCAGTTTCGCAGTAATCCTGGTATAATTCGAGTTTTCTTGTTCGACTGTGACTCTGTTTGTCGTGCATAAGGAACGCAGAAAAAGTTAAGATCTCGCTACGTGTAGTGAAATTAACATATTTTTTTTTTTTCTTTTTTTTTTATTTCCCTTAATCATTTTCTGTACAATTAATGCAGAAAGGTATGTTATTATTAGATACATCACGTGAAATCACCTGTTATCATGTTACACATGATTAAGAATTTTATCGCGTGTTATGTGTATTTAGCGATATGCACGGTATATATAGATAATAATGTTTACCCTTGAAGTAGTCACGGAGTGCGTTGCACTTGGTTTAAAAAGTGACCCATGAATCCAAATTTATTTTGTTAGATCTAATTTATCTTTCGTTATGTAATTACCTGGTAGCTAAGTTGACTGGATCAAAAATGACATCGCGGTCAAGGTCAACAATGTTGGTAACGCGATATGAAACCTCGCATAGTAGTTCTTTGGATTAGAAGAGGGATATAGAATAAGACGTGTAAAAGCTGTTAACGTATTCGTGGGACAGATAGAGATTGAAAGGGACAAAAATATCTCTTTGGTTGAGACTTATTTATAAATAATTTAAAAAATAAAATGAAAATGAATGTTTACATAAAAAGAGAATATTTAAAATATAATAGAGAATAATTATATTTCTGATAGGTCGTATATTGTATATGTGGATCTTCTATTTTTTTTCTACATGAAATCTTCTTTTATGTGCAATAACATGGATAGCATTATTATAATTTGTTTGCAGTGGATATATGATTTTATAAAGAAATGTATTGAGTTCAAAATGATGAAAATTTATATGCAATATAATGAGTTATGCATGGAATTATATTTATATTATATAATCCTTTTGAAAGGGTAAAATTAACCCCTAAAATTTTTAACATTTTATCAAGTTTTAAATACAACTTTGTCTCAGAATTTTTTTTTTTTTATAACAGATAAATGATAGAACAGTAAGTTTGAACATTTTGTAATTTGAAACTTTTCTCTATCTTACGTCATTACAGAATATTTAAAGAACCCTAAAACTTTGAGTCTTGATATTCTTTCAACTGATATTCTGCTGAGGAAAAAAGGGCTTCATATAAATGGTTCATAACATTTTACATACTCACCAAGTTTTATTAAAGATAAAAAATTTATTTCAAAAAATAAACTTTTTTTTATTTCTAAATGGATTTTAAAATTTTTTTAATTATTTATTATTTTTAAATTATTCAGCGAAATATCATATTATAGGAATTATAGACGTACTTATCGTTATTGTAAGAAAAAAAAATAAAATGAAAAAATGCAGAAACTTTGAGAATTTTATCCCCGTTTTAAAAAAAATTACGCACATACAAAATTAAAATTTAAAATTAAAATTTTTAAGTAAAATTCCTTATAAGATAACGTATGAAAACTTTTATTCTTCGCTGTACTTATAACCTATAAGTTATAATCCTTCTTTATGTTACTAATAACATTACAGGTAAACAGTTAATGCGACATTAAATACTAGAAGATAAAAAGAGACAATGGAAATTAATCTGCGGCTCACACTACAAATGTCACGTTATAACGTGTGATTTCACGCGACGTTGATATTAATGCGTTTTTATCCTACGGTCGTTCACTTGTTTCGAGGAAAGTGATTATTAATTTAAAAAAAAGCGAATATTACATATTTAGATAATAGATATAAATCATCAATAAAATTCTTTTATTTACCATGTCAAGAATTATATAGTCACGCAATCTATTCTTATCGATGATAGTATCAAAAGTAATTTTCTTTCTAATTGTTTTTCGAAATTATGGTTACGATCAATTTAATTAATTTGCGATGTTATCGAGTTTAAATGTTTAGTTAATAAAATTAAAAATGTCTTGGAAACGTTAATAATGAAAATTACTATAAATTGCAGAATAAATTACTGTCTTGCTAACGAACATGTTTAACTTGTTATCTTGTTACCTTGAAAATATTACATCAATATGCAATTAATTGATTAAATGTTAAAGGTCATGGTCTTGATTATATATGTGTAAGATACATGTATACATGTGTGTAATTACTGTATTCGTGTATTTCTAATGTAATATTATAGTATAGTGAACTTGGAATACAATCTGTTCCAAATTAAAGACAATTTGATCTTCAAATTGTTTCAAATTAAGTTTCAAATTAAATTTCTTCGTTTGAATAAATTGAATTAATCCAATGTTCCAGACTTTCCAAAATTTACATAAATTGAATATAACAAATTTTAAATGCTTGTTTTAAAAGATCATATTGATAAATAATCAAGTTCGATATTTTAATTTTTTAATATTATTTTAATAATAATATATAAGAAATATTTTATAATAACTAATTATTAATGTCATCATCATATTTGATTTTTCTTTCGACAGATACTCATATCTTTTGTTTTTGTTTATTTTTGAAATTTTTCTAAAATATTATTCACAACTATTAGGATAATAATTATTATACGATAAGGTTTAATTAAGCGACAACGAAAAAGAAGTTAAAAGGATTGAATTTCATGATTTTTTCATTGATAGATTTTCAATAACGACAAAATCTTAAATGTAATTCTTTGTATTTCTTGTATTTTTAACAAATTCGACGATAGATCTCGAAATATTTCTCTAAACTTGATGTGACGAATGTGGAAAAAAATTTTTTTATTATTTACTATTATCTTTTTTTGCTCATTAAATTTTATCGTTAATAAATCATTAAAAACACATTTTATAGCAACCATTATAATAAAGTATAAACAAAAAAAATATCAATTTAAAAATAACCGTGATATTATTCATTTCACAACTGCCATTGTAAATTTAAAAAATTTGTCAGAAAAACGGTATATTATACATATATGAATCAAATTTATTAATAAGATTAATCAAAATCATGTTACTTTTTATTGTTATTTACAAATTGGAAAATTATATTTATTTGTCACAAATTATTTGTCTAAATGCACTTAAATATTCAAATTTTATTATACATTAATAATTACACTTTTTAAAGATTATAATCAAAATCATGTTACTTCTTATTATTACTTACAAATTGGAAAATTATATTTATTTGTCACAAATTATTTGTCTAAATGCATTTAAATATTCAAATTTTACTATACATTAATAATTACTTATATTTTAATATATATGTATCACTAAATTTCAATATAAGTATATATGTATATTCTTGTCTCATATCTTAGATAAACATGAAATATAGATTTATGATTTTCGTTTGTCAAAAGTCAAAATTGTTGGAAAAAATTTGATGTATATTTTTTAATATATGCATACTAATATTTGACGTTGCGTGAAAACGGAAATTCACTGTGTCATTGCTTGCAGAGTTAAAAAAGCAAATTTACTGAACTCGGTAGTATAGTTTGTTTCCATCCGCAACGTTCTTGTACAAACTTGACGCAAGAATAGGTTAGCTTCTGGTTTCTAAAAGCATTCGCCTCGATTGTATATATCATATACAAAGTGTTTTTTCCTAATTTTAGCAAAA